ACTGCTCCGGTCGTGGATTTATGTGCTAAATGTCAGGTCACGATGTCTGCTATCTTGGAGAAGCACAGAGAAACTGAGCGCCTACACCAATTTTTAATGGGTTTGAATTCATATTTGTACGGCTCCGTTCGCTCCAACTTACTTTCGACAGATCCTCTTCCAACCTTGGAACGAGCTTACTCCCGGGTTGTTGAGGAAGAGCGACTTCGTTCCTCTGCCCAACGTGAGCCGCCTCCTCATCCACCGATGAGTTTTGCTGCTGTACAAGGTTCCGTTCCTACTGGCGAGATTGCTGCCATGGCAGCCGCGACCTCCTCCAAGCCACGCAGCCGAAGCTCCCGTAGGCACTTATTCTGCACTCATTGTAGTACTCCTGGACATGAGATCACTAATTGTTATCAACTGATCGGTTACCCCGAAAATTGGTCGAACTCACGTATTTCTGGTGGGAAGGGACGTGGGCGTGGAGGAACTGGTCGTGGTTTCGGTTCTCTGCTCATCTGCATCATCGGTTTCCTCAGGTGCGTCCTATCCCTTACACAATTATGTGAGCTATGATAACTTTTCTGCTTCGTATCGCATTTTTCTTGCCCATGTTGCTGTAGGTGTAGAGCCTCGTACCTTTTTTGAGGCTATGCGTGATGCTCGCTGGCGAACTGCGATGCAACAGGAAATTCAGGCTCTCGAGGAAAATGGCACCTGGACGTTGTGCTCTCTTCCTCCTGGGAAGCGCGCCATTGGTTGCAAGTGGGTCTTCCGGATAAAATATCATTCAGATGGATCGATTGAGCGCTTTAAAGCGCGTCTTGTTATCTTGGGCAATAACCAGATTGAGGGCATCGACTATAATGAGACTTTTGCTCCAGTTGCGAAGATGGTTACCGTTCGTACTTTTTTGGCTGTTGCTGTCACTAAAGGCTGGGAACTTCATCAAATGGATGTTCACAATGCATTCTTACATGGTGATCTCACGGAGGAGGTGTATATGAAGCTGCCGCCTGGCTTTTCTCCATCCCAGCCTGGTCAGGTGTGTCGCCTTTGTCGTTCTCTTTATGGCTTACGACAGGCTCCTCGCTGTTGGTTTGTGAAACTAGCCGGGGCCCTTCGTCGATATGGGTTTCAGCAATCCGCTTCTGATTATTCTCTATTCACTTTTACTCGCGATGCTGTGCAGATTAATGTTCTTATTTATGTGGATGATCTTATATTATCTGGAAATGATTCTGACGCTCTTCGTTCCTTCAAGGAGTATTTGCATCATTGCTTTCATATGAAGGATCTTGGGGTCCTCAAGTACTTCCTTGGAATTGAGGTGGCTCGAAATCCGTCTGGAATATTTCTTTCACAGCGAAAATATGTTCTCGACATTATTTCGGAGGCAGGGTTGCTTGGAGCTAAGCCAGCCAATTTTCCTATTGAGCAGAATCACCACCTTTCTTCCACTGCTGATGTTCCTTTCCATGATCCCCTGCGATATCGTCGTCTTGTTGGTTGTCTTATTTATCTTGCCGTTACCTGTCCTGAGTTGTCTTATTCTGTTCACATTATCTCTCAGTTCATGCAGAAGCCTATGCAGGCACATTGGGACGCAGCTCTTCGAGTCGTTCGTTATTTAGAGGGCTCTCCTGGTCAGGGAATTTTTCTTAGGGCTAATTGTGATTTGCAGATTTCTGCATGGTGTGACTCTGATTGGGCTACTTGTCCTTTGACGCGGAGATCTCTTACGGGCTGGTTTATTCAACTTGGGTCCTCACCTGTTTCGTGGAAGACTAAGAAACAACACACTGTTGCTCGTTCCTCTGCTGAAGCTGAATATCGTTCCATGGCCTCTACTATTTGTGAGGTGAAGTGGTTGAAAGCTCTCCTTCTATGTCTTGGTGTGGAACATTTTCAGCCTATTCGGTTGTTCTGTGATAGTCAAGCCGCTTTGCACATTGCGGCCAATCCCGTTTACCATGAGCGAACGAAACACATCGAGGTTGATTGCCATTTCATCCGGAACGAAATACTAACCGGTACTATCCTTCCTAGCTACGTTTCTACACATGTACAACTTGCCGATATCTTTACTAAGGCTTTAGGTAAACAACAATTTGAGTTTTTATTAGGCAAGTTGGGCATTCGTAATCCCCATGCTCCAACTTGAGGGGGGGTGTTATGGTAAGTAAATATATTCGTGTAAATATATATGTGTATTGATGGTAGGTTTATGAGGTTGTACTCTATATATTTCTTTGTACACATCCTAATGAGATATGACGGTATTACGGCTTTGATTCACGCCGGCCGCTTTCAATCCTATACTCTTTCTCTTCTTCTCATTATCTGGCTGAGATAACAAGAAATGTGAATTGGCTGTATTTATAGTTGATGTGTGCCTTACATATGTTACTATCATAATATATATAATAAGTTAGAGAACAATTTTTTATTTTTTTTGTTTTTTCTCCTTTTTTCCTTTTCACATGTATGACAATTTTTGTCTGGACAACTAATAATAATACAGGTACATAATATAAATATATTATATTTCACACGGAAATATACCAAATTTAAGATCAACTCCAACCCTGCGCTATGCGCTGGAGTTGTGTTGATTTTTCCGCTCCAGCCCTTGTGCTAGATGTTGCGCTATTCCACAGATGTGAACAGTGCATCGCCAGATCTGGCGATGCACTGTAGCTCATCTTTACATTTTTTTTTTTTGCTTTTTGTTTATTTTTTTATGTATTATTATTGATATTTTTTGTATAATGTATATTAGTAAATGTATTAATTATGCTAAATAATTTGTACAATGTATTTTTTACGCTAAATAATTTTGTACTTTTTATTTATTAATGTATTATAATTTATTTTATAATTTTTTAATATTAAAATGATATGAATAAAAATTTAACACACTCAAACAAGTTTATTTCATTAAAATTAAAGGTTACAACACTCATTTTATATAAGATTAAATATACATATATATTTAAGAAATAAAAAATGAATAAAAGAATAATATATTTAATGTAGAGTAAAATGTAGAGATAAGGGCTGGAGATAAATGTTCAACTCTACTCTAGAATAGAGTAAAGTCGGGGAAAAATTAGAGATTTAGTCCTTTAAGTGGCGTCGATTTGAGGTTTAGTCCTTTAACTGACCAACTTTTAGAAAAGGTCCTGTAAGTCGCAAAAAACCTGAGATTTAGTCCTATTACCGGCAAAAAAAGGTCACTTTTACCGGCTCGCCTACGTGGAATTTTACAAGATTTTTTTTTTTTTGCCGATTTAGCTGACTTGGCAAAATATGTAACATATTTACAAAAAAATGTTGATGGTGGGATTCGAACCCAGGCCAAGGAGCATTCAAGTGGCCTTAAGAGCCACTTCTCCTACCACAATTTATGTAAATTATGTGACTTCACTTATATATATTTAAAGCACAGTTAATTATATATTTAGTTACTAGGCTAATATATATATATTAAATATTTAGTTATTCTACTATTATATATATATATTAATTATATTATATAATATATTTATTTATTTAAATATTAATATATATTTTAATATTTATATATATATGTTAAAATAAAAGAATTATTATTTAATATATTTATTTATTACGTTATTTGATATATTTATTTACTCAAATATTAAATATATATTAAGTAAATAAATATTAATTAATTAAATAAATATAAATTAATAAATATATTCAATAATATAATGTTATTTCTTATTTACTATATTAATAAATAAATATATTAAATATATTTATTTTAAATATAATGTTATTTTTTATTTATTATATTAATAAATAAATATTTATTATTTAAATATTTTATATTAAATATTAATATAAAATATATTTATTAATTTATATTTATTTAATTAATAAATATTTATTATTTAAAAATAATACAAGTTAATATTTATTTATAATATATTTTATTAATTTATACTATTTAATACTATTAAAAATAATACTATTTAATATATTTATAAATAATTATTTAAAAATAATACTATTTAATATATTTATTATATTTAAATATAATGTTATTTCTTATTTATTATATTAAAAAACAAATATTTATTATTTAAATATTTTATATTAAATATAATACTATTTATTATATTAAAAATAATACTATTTATTATGTTTAAATATAATGTTATTTCTTATTTATTATATGAATAAATAAATATTTATTATTTAAATATTTTATATTTAAATATTTTATATTAAATAATACTATTTATTATATTAAATATAATACTATTTATTATATTTAAATATAATGTTATTTCTTATTTATTATATTAATAAATAAATATTTATTATTTAAATATTTTATATTATATATTAATATAAAAAATATTTTATATTTAAATATTTTATATTAAATAATACTATTTATTATATTAAATATAATACTATTTATTATATTAAATATAATTCTATTTATTATATTTAAATATAATGTTATTTCTTATTTATTATATTAATAAATAAATATTTATTATTTAATATATTTATTTATTAATATAATAAATAAGAAATAACATTATATATTGAAAATATTTATTAATTTATATTTATTTAATTAATATTTATTTATTTAATATATATTTAATATTTGAATAAATAAATATATCAAATAACGTAATAAATAAATATATTAAATAATAATTTTTTATTTTAACATATATATAAATATTTAAATATATATTAATATTTAAATAAATAAATATATTATATAATATATTTAATATATATAATAGTAGAATAA